CGGTCCTCCGTGAAGGTCTTGAGGAACTCCACATATTTTTCCTCCCACTGACGAGCAAAGGACACCAAAGCCAGTTTGACTGGTTGAGCACCAACGCGAAGCCAATGGATGTCGACAGGTGTCTTCATGTTCGACAAGTCATTCTTCAGATTCTTGAATTCGATAATCTGCTTGTCAAACTGGTCAAGAGCAGGCACCTGGCGTCCGATGTCCACCTTGATGCGATCCATGATGTCCCTGAATGACAGGCCTTCCTCTTCGAATCCCTCAACTAGATCTCGAGCACCCTCCTGCAAGAACTTCTCAAAGGACTTGTCGATAGACTCCGTCCACAAATACCTCAGGCTTGCACGGACAAGGTGGGTTGAACTGCATATCTGAATGCACTATCAAATAAAGCGTTTCTACTGCGTATATATAAATATATGCATAATTACTGAAGTCAATAAATGTGCATATGTTCATTTTTTGGTATGTGCATTTGTGTGAGTGTGCGTATGTATGTACATGTAAAAAATATGGTGTATGATGTGTATGACATGCATATATGTACATATGCTGTATATATCTCTTATGTGTATATGTGTACATGTGTATGTATGTGTATATGTCAAAAAAAATAGTTTTATATATATATATATATTAAATACATTTGTGTAGGCGGCACAGTAGGTGCAAAAGAGTCACGAGTGCTGCATGAATGTCTCCCTGTAATCCATGCACTTCATCTCTGTGTTGTCAATGAGCTCCGACACAAGGGCCAATAGGCACTGCATTTGAAAGTGCTCTCTGATCTCACTGAGATAGTCACCGCTGTTGGTGTCCAAGCGTTGCATGCAGGTGACAGTCGCGAAAAAGTCCTTGAGCCAGCCATCAATAGTTGATCTCAGGGACACTTCCCCAGGTTTGGAAGATTGGAAGGGTGGATCAAAAATGATTCTTGAATCTTGTAGTTCGATCTTGACTTCAAAGAGCGGCAGCATCTCGTGCTTTGCAATGATGAGGGGATCCAAGATCTCGCAAA